AATTGGTGCATTTTTTATATGTACATATCATAAGAAGTTTACTTCTAAAAACTAATCTTTGAGCCAGGAGGTGGTGGCACAGGCCTTTAATCTCAGCACTCAGGAGGGAGGCAAAGGCAGGTGGAACTCTGTGAGTTCGGGGCCAGCCTGGTCTACAGAGTGAGTTCTAGGACAGCCAGAGATACACAGGGAAACCTTGACTCGGTAAAAAGAAATCCTATTTCAAATCTGACAGATTTGGGGTTTTTGTTCACACAGTCAAAAAAGACTAAAAGATATGCAAAAGAAGAAATCCAAACAGAAGAATCTTTCAACAGGTTCCAGTGTGTTTTACAATGTGTGTATGCTTAGGAAAGAAGGAAAGAAAGAAAGAAAGAAAGAAAGAAAGAAAGAAAGAAAGAAAGAAAGAAGAGAGAAAGAGAAAAGAAAGAAAGAAAGAAGAAAGGGAGTATGTGCATCATAAAAAGAAAGAAATAGTTTAAAAATAATAAAATAAAGTATTTAGAGAGAAAAGTAATATAAAAGAAAAAAGCCACATAAGATGGGAAATATGCAGGGACTTTAGATCCTATATGCTGCTCTGTTGATTTTGACAGCTGCTAAGAGAACTGTAATTGAAAGAGGGACTGTTGAAATAAACCAGCCTATATGCTTTAGGAATACCTTAAGTTTAAAATTAAAGTCAAGTCAGAAAGTAGTGATGTATGCCTTTAATCCAAACACTTGGGAGATAGAGGCAGGCAGATCTCTGTGAATTTGAGGTCTGCCTGGTCTACAAAATGAGTTCCAGAATAGCTAGGACTATTACATAGAGAAACCCCATCTAGAAAAATCAAATTTAAAAAAAAAAAAAAAGGAAGTCAAAAATACATTTGTCAAATGAAAATCAAAGCTACTTTGGAGGAGAGGTTTTGCTTTTGTTTCCAAAGGAAACAAGGGGCTGTGGATTCCTTCCATGCTAATATGGTTTGATTGAGGAAGACCCCCTAAAGAAACTCTGGTGGGGACAGATGGTCAAGGTGATCCAACATCCAAAACAGCTTCAAGGCTGCTAACTGAGCTAATCAAGTCTCACAGAATACTACAGCCGAGACTTAACAATTATCTTGATTTTCTCAGGGTCCCTCAAAGATTACTAGTGCCCCCTAATCAACAGGAAGTTGTCTAGAAAACTATACTCACATTTCCAAAATATTGGTTATAAATACTTGTTTTCATTAAGAGGGATTGGCTACAAACTGTAATTAGTCATATTTAATCTCTTTCTAAAAGAAGAAAGGGGGATATGGTATAGAAATGATGGGAGGAAATGGCAGATTATTGAATCTACTTTAATCCAAAAAACTGTTAATCTCACAATATTTTATATTGGTATAAATTTTAGTTTATTGATATAAATTTGAGGTTAATTTTGTTATACTGTATGTATATTTCTACTCTTGTTTAAGGTATTGTGTTTATATAGCTCAATTAAAATGTATATTGGGAGGAGGGGAGGGAGTGGGAAGCTGGATTTAAAAGTATATTTTAAAAATCTAATTAAAAAATGTAATATATAATTAAAAATACAAATTAATAGTCATCTATAATAGTCATTTTAGTTAGGGTTTCTAGATACACAAAGATATATTTCCAAGAGATAACTATTCTTCAAACAAACATTTTAAAGAATATGGCATTTAAAATGTTTTAATACCTTAGACATTTCTTGACGGTGAGCACCAATGTAATGTATTCCAGAGAAGATGATGGGCATCAAAGAAACTTCATAAGGAGTTTGTTTCTTTATAACAAAAGCTAGCCATTTGGGCAAAGAAACTGCCCTTGCCTCAATTGCTGACAGTTACTGTCCAAACTGCCAACACAAGGTAGGACAGTCCTACAAAAATCCTACTTCACAGAAAAATCTGTCAGATATTTTAGGATTTTAGGCCTATAGGTCAAAAATTGATGCCCCAATGTTTGAGATGACGAAGTGAGCCTTCATTTTCCTCATGGGCTCAGTGTCATCACAAGAATCTGAGAGACAGTAGGGAGAGGCAGAAGGAAAGAGGTACCAGGGGGATAGACTAATTGGAGAGGACAGAGATACAGAGAGAGAAGGGGAGACAGGACAGAGAGATCAGAAGATGCTCTTGTCTTTGGAAGGAGAGACTTGGAGCCAAAAACTGCAGGAAATCCTAGCAGTCAGAAACCCCGAGGGGTCACATTTTCCCTGGAGCCGACAGAAAGAATGGGCCCTGCTGAGGCTTCTGTTTAGCCCCTCAGGGACCCATTTCAGCTTCTGAGCTCTAGGACTGCAAGATAATGAATTAGTGGAAAGCCATTACACGTGCGGAGACTTGTTTTAGCGGCCATGGGGAACTCTTACAACAACCTTAAGTGGATTCCGACAGTGGCTTCCCCGCCAGGGCCCTTAGAACTTCGAACCTGCTTAGTCACTGATTTTAATGCACAGCTATTTTGTGAAATTGTCAGTTTCAACCAGCTCACTCTGCCACCTAGAATCCTGGACAGATTCACATGAACCTACGACATAACCTAGGGCGATCTCTCACCTGCTGGAGGAGTGATCTAACCAAGGCCAAGGTAGTAATAAGCACCAAGCATTTGCTCAGAGTCAGCCACTGCATGCAGCATTCCATGTGTGTAAGCTAGGTCAGTTTTCCCAGCAATCCTACTCCTGGTTTACAGATGGGGAAACTGAGGCACAGGGCCCATGCCACTTTTAAAGTCTTTACAGGCGTGAGGAGCTGGGACGGATATTAAAAACAGTGCTTTGAGTTGGAGCCCCCTCATCTGTCCAGGTCACTGTCACTACTGACAGTGGATGAGGGCTCAGCCCAGCCCTGCCCCCAAGCCACCTTCAGGCTGTGGTAACTGTGGCTGCTGAACTGTATTACAGAATTCAAAGGTGACCTCATGGACTCCAAGGGTTGGCCAGACTCTTGGTAGAGCATCCAGAACTGTTTCCTAGCAACACTACAAGCACCACTCTCTGGGGTATCAGCCATCCCCAAGGTCTTGTGCACATTAAACACGGAAGGGAGTCCTGCTTAGCTTCCCCCCAGAGAACTGGAACTCCCAGAACAGGAGGCTATGCATGGTACAGAAGCGGCAAGCAAATTCCAGGGGAACTCCTAGAGAGGCCCTGGTTGCCCTGGCTGTTCTCACCTCTCCATGGAGTCCTTGCATCTCCTCAGCCACTGCCCACTCAGCCAGCTTTCCCGGAGACTCCCTCTCTCCTTCCCCACCCCCACATCTCTCTGTACCTTCTCATAGTTGCCGATGAGAGCTGCCCCTAGGCAAACTGAATTTTTTTTTTCCAGACTCTCCAGTGGTTTATATTCTTTCCCTGGCTTTCAAAGACCAATATCTCTTTGCTTTTTCTAAAATCTTAAGCATTATTTCAATTGTCTTTTTTCTTTTTCTTTTTTTTTTTTTTTTTTGGAGAAAGGGTCTCATGTAGTTTAGATTGGCTTTGGACTTATTGTAGAACCAAAATTTCTACCTTGAATTTCCAATCCCCTGACCTCTCTACATTTCAAGTGCTGGGCTTATAGGTATGCACCACCGTGACCAGCTTTCAACTAGCCTTCTGCGGTCAGAGAAGGATGGCCTTAGCTGGTAGGAGTTTAGGGCCTGCCAATTGTCCAAGGGTGTCTCAGATTTCAATTATGCTATGGTACCTCCGGCAACAAACCACAGGCTTAACGGTTCCTGACTGCCTGGGTATGGACTCCAGAGCCAGGACCTGGAGAACCCTGGCTTATAGAAAAGAGCTGGCTGGTAGTATAGGGGCTGAATCCTATCAACTGGAAGAGAAGGGAAACAGAAGATGAAAACCTGAGGGCAAACTTCAGAGGTGTAGAGGAAAGCTTCCGGGTGGCAAACCCACCTTGGTATCTTGATTGGCTTTGTGAAACTATCCCTTTGAAAGCAGGCAGGGGCAATGGTGCTGGAATGGACTTTGGCACAAAGCCCCATTAACAAATACAGACTACCTGCCATCTTAGTGCAGGTCTCAAGAGGTATTTCCCTAGAAAGGGCGTGGGGTGGGCGTGAATTCACTGTTCACGAGACGTTTTTCTTTACCCAGAAAGGTGGGCGGCAGAGCTCACTAACCGTAGAACTACTCTCTGGACTTCTGTTGAATCTCCTTTAATCCTGTAGGCATTATAATCCCCACAAGCTGGGTGAGGAAATTGAGGCAAACGGTTGATGGTTATCTCCAAGCACTCCAGCCTGTAAGCTTGGCAGCTGGAGTATGAATGAAGCCGAACTGGTTCCCAAGCATCTGCTCTTCGCCCGGGCTCTGCAGCCTCTTCATCGTCCATTCCTCAAAAGCTGAGGGGAAGTGCACTCTGCGGACGCGTTGTGAGAGTGTTACAGTTATCACTGTTGACTCGTAACTGGGTTTCTTCAGGAGAGTGCAAACACGTCCCTGAGCTGAGCATCTCCCAGGACATCTCCCAGGACACCTACTCCCTTACCAAGGACTGTCTCCATATTTTTCTGTCCTCTCCCCAAACTGTCCTTCAGGTTTCCAGCAACTATCACAAAATGCCCTCTTCCTATTCCTCTTCTGCAATGCAAGGAAGTCGGAGCAATTACAGAGAACGCAAAGAAAATCCAGACGACCCTGGCCTTGAGATAACAGTCTACAAGAGGGAACCGAGTTATTTTCTACCTGGTAATTAGGACTGTCACTACAAAACCGCTCAACAAGTCCCCAATTCCCTAGTCGGTGTGGAGAGGGTCTGGGTGTCCCTGCGGCGGGGTACAGCGCCCCCGCGGGGCACTCGGGGACCTCTGCTGCGCCGTGCGTCCTGAGCCTGGCTCGGCTTGGCGGGACTTCTCCCGGCCCAGGGGACCCAGCAGTGCCACCTCCCTCTCCCACGCTCCCCAGTGGACAGCTGCTCCCCGACTGCGCCACGTGCGTGCGTCTGTCAGTCAGTGGGGTCGGTCTGTCCGCGCCCGGGGCAGCGCGCCGCGCTCACCTGCAGCCACCGCCGCCGGCACCAGGAAAGCGAGGCAGGGGCACAGCCGCGTGGGTCTGTTTCAGTCGTTTGCCGCCTCGCCCCGCCGAGGACCGCAGCGCTCCTGGAGCACCGCTCGCGTGACGCGACGAAGAAACCCGCGCCAACGCCGTGTCCTGAGCCGCCGCCTTCAAGTCCCATCCCAGAGCGCTCCCCGCGCTTGCTGGCTGCCTGCGAGGCTCTGGGCGAGGGCGGCGCGGGGAGGCGGTACCGCGCGAGGGTGGGGAGAGGACGGGCGGGCGGACGGAAGGAGGGGTGTCGTCTTTGGGGATGGGGAAGGCGGGGAGAGGCGGCGGCCAGAGCTGCCCCACCCCGCAGACAGCCCCCAGCCCTGACCGTGGTCGCGCTCCCTGCCTGCTGGCAACCTCACTCTCCCTGTGCGTCCCCAGCCGGAGTTGGGATGGATGGGTCTCCAGAGTCAGGAGCAACTGGAGGCTTTAGGAGCTTGTTGGTCGGGGGTGGGGGTGGGATTCCTGGTAACAGTAGTCATAGCAGGAGTACTATAACCTGAATTGAAGACTATATTTTGGCTAGAGGCATCCGTCGACCACGATGATGAAGAAAGGAGTGGTGAGAATTGAAGATGGCTAGTGCCAGGAACTGCCTTGGCAGTCTGGGACCGCTCCTCCAGTGCCAATTCACATTAACAGTATCTCTCCACTGGCCTTGAACCAGCCCCTGGGGTGGGAAAGTAGATTAGAATGCCAAGGTTCCTCCCCTGAAGGGGCAGAGTCTAGTTCAGGCAAGACTTAAAGAAATTATGGGCAAGACTTCTGTAACTTTGTTAAGTGAGGGAAACCTTACCTGAGAGAGCGGCCTTCCTTGGAGGGACAGAGAAAATAGGCCTGACCAGTAGCAGGGAACCGAGTTGATTACCCCACTCTACCGTATCTGGGATAACAGGACTCTACAGTAGGCAGGGATATTTCCCAATAAAACCCTGAATCTTATTGTCCAGCTGCTAAGCCAATACACTCCATCCGGGTTTTACCAAACCACCAGGGAAAATCAGAGCTAACTATATTCAACTCCTCCGGATGTATCCGTGCTTTTGACTGCCTGTGTTTCGTAAGTACCCATCAGCTCCTATTCTATGAGAGGTGGTCCCTGGAAAACAAATAAATGTCCTGTGCAAGACCTGTTCCTCCCCAAAGCTCCAGGGGTGGGTAATTAAAATCTCAGCCACGGGTAGTGGTGGGTGCACGCACACCTTCACCCCGGCACCCAGGAGATAAAGGCAAGTCGATCTAGGTGCGTATGAGGGCAGTGTAGTCGACATGGTGATTCCAGGCCTGCTGAGGTGCCATAGTGAGGCAGTCAAACATAAAACAACAAAAGTGTAAAATAAAGGGTCGGTACACTCAGGTCTTGCTGCCAAGAAATAAGCAGGGGCTCACCCTTCTGTCTTCCTCACCTGAACCTTAGACCCACAGGTGTTGGTGGCTGCTGCTGCTGCTGCTGCTGGCAGCCTGCATCTATCAGAGAAGTTTTCCTTAGGTCTTTGGGAGGAGGAAGGTGGAGGTCATAAAATAGAGCAAAATCTCCAGGAAATGTTTGGTCTTGGATTCCACAGAACAAAATTCTTCCTGAGTTGGAGCCAGTAAAACCCTGAGGGGCTGGAATAGCTGAGCTACAAATTATGGAAATGTATTTATAACACGCATCTCTAGTCCAAGACACCCGCAGGATCCAGTCATTTACCGGGGAAACTATAATCTGGAAATGCTTCCGATTTTTATGGAGGCTGTGGTTTAATAATGATCTCCATTATCTGGTTTGGGCCAGTTAAAATGGGTGTTCCCCGCTCTCCAGGGAGTTCTGTGGGAATTCTTCAGAATAGGAAATCTTGGGTGGAGCAGGGCTGAGGGCAAGGCAGAAGGGTCAGATGAATGGTTCTGCTTGGTTTTGCTCTTCGGGTCTGCAAATCAATAAATGTAAATAAATAAAGATAGTGAATCAAATGCAGGTTCAGTGTCCTAAAATACAGAGTCAGAGCGACATTTACCTCCCTCAATAAATGCAAGTTGATGAGAAGGACTCTTGAAGGAAAGACCCAGATCTGCCTTTTCTGCCCGAGGCTCCACTGTAGATGTGCAGAAAACCTTATTTAGAAGAAGCATGGGATAAAATTTCTAGGTCACATGGCCAAACCGGAGTGAAGGCAGCAGGAGCCGAGAGAGTTCGTGAGGTGACCATTTGATCAGACGTTGGTAGCGAGGCTGCAGGTCTACTGGCCTTTCTCTGTCTCCACAGAGGGTCTTCGCTGGTTAGTGTTTTGTCAACTTGAGCAGCGTCTGGGAAGAAGGAATTGAGAAAATGCCTCCATCAGACTGGCCTGCGGGCAAATTTGTGGGGGAATTTTTCTTGATTAATGATTGATATGGGAGAGTCCAGCCTATTATCAGTGGTGATTGGGCAGTATTTTTAAAAAGCAAGCTGAGTGGGCCATAGACAGAAGGATCTTTGAGTTCAAGGCCAGCCTAGTCTACAAAGAGGGAGTTCCAGGACAGTCAGGAGTACACAGAGAGACCCTATCTCAAAAAATAAAAATAAATCAACAAAAGAAGAAAGTAATGGAGAAATAGCATTCCTGCATAGTCTCTGCTTCAGTCCCTGCCTCCAGGTTCCTGTCTGGACTTACCTCAATGCACTGGGACCCAGGTTATGTAGAACAAACAAACCTTTTCCTTCTGAAGTTGCTTTTGAAGGGTTTTATCCCAGAAAGAGAAAGCAAACTAAGCACAGGGTCTATTTGGGATTGGAGGGGGTGTGTCATTTCACGCAGGCCTCAAATTTATGAACGGCCTCAAATGTAGACTTTTCTTTCAAGATTTGTGTGTGTGTGTGTGTGTGTGTGTGTGTGTGTGTTTTGCCAGTGAATGTAAAAAAGAAAAAGGAAAGGACTTGGGGCATGACTGCTCCTAGGTATGGTGGAGGAGAAAGTTTATTATAGGTATGTGGGAGAGCATAGCCAGATACAGGGATATCTGGGAGAGTCCAGTTATCAGACTGAACTGGGCCAAGTAGGGAGAGGGGGAGGAGAAGGGAGAAGAGAAAGGGGAACCAGGTACAGCAGCCAGGAGGCCAAAAGTACAAAAAGGAAGGGACGGTAATCAAAATGTCTGGATTATTAGGGAAGAGACTCTGGGGGAAGGGCAGCCAACCCCTGGTCTAGAGAGTTTAGGGTAAGGGCCTGTAAAGTAAACTGTGAGCCACACCTTGTAAAAGGAGGAATTGAGGGATGCTGAGAGAACCTGGTAGCCAGGTCTGCTTTGATATGTTAGAGAGGCACCTCTGCTGATTGTCCCAGGTTTGAACCAGAGGCACGACTAGTGCCCTTGAAGATCAGAAAAGACTGAGACTGGAGGAGTGAGTGTTTGTGAGCCACCAGGTGGGTCCAGGGAATCAAACCCAGATTCTGTGCAAGAGCAGCCAGTGTTCTTAATCGCTGAGTCATCTCTCCACCCACCCACCCCTTCTTTTTTTTTTTTAGACAGTGTCTCCCTATTGCCGGCCTGGAACTCACTATGTAAACCTCACTAGCCTCAAACTCATAGGTATCTGCCTTCCTCTTTCTCTGCTGGGCTTAAAGTCCTGCACCACCATACCCAGAGAGAAAGATTTCTGAATAAACACATCCACCCACCTTAGAAAGACACGATGAGAAGAACAAGGAAAAGTAATAGAACAAGTCAAAACCTTGTTGAAGAAAACAAAGCATTCCAGAGGATTCAGATTTGTGTGTGTGTGTGTGTGTGTGTGTGTATGCTTGCAGGTGAATGTGTGTATCTGTGTGCATGCGTGCTCACAGGCAAGTGTGAATTTTTGTGTATGTGTGTGTGTGGTGGGAGGTGTTAGTGTGTGGTTATGCATGTAGAGGCTGGAGGACAGTCCTAAGTGATTGCCTTAGTTTCTGTGACGGGGTCTCCCATTGACTGGAACTCACTGCTTAGGCTGGACTGGCCAGCCTGCTAGCTCCAGGCATCCACTGTGTCCTGCTTCCCCAGTGCTGGGAATCTAAGTGCATGCCACCATACCTGGGTCTCTTGTTGTTGATGATGTAGGTTTTGAGGACCTGATTCTGTTCCTCACAGTTGCAAGGCAGACATTTGGCCAACTGAACTATCTCCCCAGTCTATGCTTTGGATTTTTGGGTTTTGTTTTTGTTTGTTTGTATTTTTTAAGGATTTAATTTTTAATTATGTCTATATGCGTGTATGTGAGTATGAGTTTGTGCATGAGTGCAGTGTCAGAAGACCAGAAGGGGGCACTGGATCCCTGAAGCTGAAGCTATAGCACAGCCGTGAGCTCCACAGCATGGATACTGGGAACCAAACACTGGTCCTCTGCAAAAGCAGTATGAAATCTTAAGCTCTGAGCCATCTCTCCAGCTCCCATGGATTCAGATGGTTAATGGAGCCCTGAACAACCCCCAGGTCCTGAGGATGAAGGCAAGCTTTTTACTTTTGTTTTGTTTTGTTTTGTTTTTCAAGACAGGGTTTCTCTGTAGCTTTGGAGACTGTCCTGGAACTAGCGCTTGTAGACCAGGCTGGCCTCGAACTCACAAATATCCGCCTGCCTCTGCCTCCCGAGTGCTGGGATTAAAGGCGTGTGCCACCACCGCCTGGCTAGCTTTTTACTTCTTTACAAAACTTGCTGCCCTATGCCATCCTAGAGGCTTCTTGACTCTAACCTGGAGTTGAGAGCTTATGGTATTTGTAGAAACCGACCATAGAACGAGACAAGAGGCTTGCAGAGGAGTCTTTAAGTAAGTGATGTGTAGAAGCATCCTTGGAAACACATTGCTGTCTTTTCATCCAAAACATACAAAGAGCTGGCATGAAGTGGTCATACCTATCTTCTCTCAAAGACATTACTGAGTCTCCACACTGGCTGCCTGGTGCTAAATCAGGTTGTGAGGTACTTGGGCAGTGACTATATCCTCCTGTTCTATAAGACCCCCTGCCCCCACAGCACTGGCAGAGCACAGTAAGGAGAGTCAAGAGTAACAGTATAGCAGATGTGAAGGCTTTTCCACATCCTCCTTTGCCCATGAAAGCCAGCTGTGACATGGTCAGCACCAAAGCCCAACAGTGAAGAAACACTACAAATAGTTAATGGGAAGAATAATGCGATAGCCTGCTGAGAGCCACATGTACATCACCAGATGGAGAGAGCGTCTGCAATGCAATAAAAT